CTCATCTCTCACCAACTCAACAGGAGTCTCTTTATTTGCCTTCTTATCTACACTTTTGTTTGGGACTGAAGCTAGAGTGATATTTCTAATAGTCTGATTGTTTCATGTCATTTCTCTGCTTAGTATTTCTCTGTCTTCTCTTGACCTTATATTCAGGTATAAGATCTTCAAAATGAAACACAGAACCCTATAGGATCAGTCTTGTCTGCTTTTCTAACCTCAACTTTCACCCCTTCAAATACTCTTTACTCATATCAAGATTTTTTTAGTTTCCAGAACTCATCATATTGAAAACTAATGTGAAAGATTACAAGATATGTCTAAAATAAATATTTCAGGTCCCTCATTTAAAAAAAAAATCTCTTTGATATGCATATTTTTCACTTTTTAGTCATTTTTATGTGTTAAAACTGTAGAGTACTTTTAAACATAGAAAAAGGGATCACTTGGGTTATCACAGCAAGTATTGATTATCATTAACTGTATAATTATACTTAATATAATTTATTGTCCATTCATTTCATGCATGCCAAGGATCTTAAAAGTGAATCTATAAAGTATCTGATTCTCTTTTATCTTCCTTACATTGAAATAAAATACTAGCTCAGAGATTTCAGAAGAAGTTACATATTGAGATGAGTTCTAAACACAACCTCTAAGATAAGTGAGCATTCAGTGGTCTGTGTAGAAATGGAAATGTGGAAGTTGAAATAAGATCCTTCCCCAAATAGCTTTCAAGATATGTGAACTTCATTTTACTTTAGAGATCACATGATCAGTCTCTCCTATCTGATTTTTTTTTTAACACAAATTTAATCGTTTTATTTCTGAAATGCCAGTGTGTTCAACGGTTGTCTGGAAACAACCACCAAAAAAAAAAGTCATATGTACTAACAAAACCATTAGGCTTTTTAAATAAACCTACTTATTTTTAGATAAACCTAATTGTTCTCATGACCAATGAACTGGTAGAAACAGAATGAAATGATTAGGGCTGTATGTGTGTTTGCAAGTACGTGATTTAACTTTTGAAAATACATGGGATGCACCATTCCTGTATTCATTGAATTTATCAAGAATTATAGGCAGACTAGAAATTGCTTCTCAGAGTGATTATACCTTTTCTAATATCACTTACTGATTTCACAGTAAAAGTTTAGGCCACAAAAGTTGAGATAAGGACACAATTCATTTTATTTCTCTCTGTTAAAAATAGCATTATCAAACAATTTGTGATGTTTTGCTCATATCATATATTGGCCTGTCATGAAGAAATAAACCTCCACTTGCTTTCATGGCAGTAGATAATAAATTGACTGATATAATTCACTTGAGAAGTTGAAAAATGCATTGAAAATAATGGGGCATAACATTGTAGGGTTAACATTTATTCATAGATGATGCAATTAAATAAAACAGGCATTAACTTCAAGGTCAGTCGGAAAAGTAATAAAATTGAATATTTTAATTGAATTGTAATTGCTTCCCATTGATACATGCAAGTAAAGTAAAATAGATGTCAGCTCTACAAATTATGGTTCTTCCTCCTAATTAATTTCTTAATTCTGCATGGCGTTATCCAGTGCCTAGGTCTTGTTGTGGGTTTATTCATCCACCCAGTTTCCATTAAGGAATGTCCATAAGATGTGATTGAATGGCTAGATGTCAAAATTTACAGCAGATTTTTCATGCACTTTGAAGAAAATGTTTGTTAGTAATTTAAGGTAACTTATTTATGTAACTAAGTTAAAATGTATTGTAAATGTAACATCATTCTGGGGCCTATGGATTGTAATCATCTTTTATTAAAGTTGATACTTGATCTTGATATTTGTATCACCATTAATACATGTAACCATCTCAATGATTATAAAGGTTTCCATGGGGAAAATAGACACACTGAGTTCATATTCCACAGCTGACTGACTCAGAGATAAATTGAGCAGACTGTGAGGGTTTTAGTGAAACAGTTTATGTCCATTTGTGACCCAGATTCTCTACAAAAGAGACACCAAAATTGAATGAATCCAAAAAAAGAGTCTTTTCTCAGGGACTAGGATAATTTGAAGCTTTTAGATAAAGTTGGATTGCATAGAAAAAAACCTATGAGCCATTGTGACTTTCTCATAGGCTTTTCACAGTCCCTCAAAGCATTGAAAAGTAATGTAGTTTATATAAAATAAAATGGGAATCATGACATTACAAAGATCAGGAGAAAGATTTTCAAATTATAGTGAAATTGTATTGGGTCTAGATACTGGTTTCATTTAAGAAAAAGATTATGCCTTTTGAACTTGCTGCATTTACCAGTTAAGTGGCTACTGCTTAAAAATTGAAATTAGAATGAACGTATAAGAGGAATTTAAAAATTACTGAGGTATTGTTATATACATATTCTTAAACTTTGAAATGATTCTATGTAATAGAATTATTTAAGAGCAAATATATTGGTATAGTCACATCATTCTTTAGTTGTGGTTAGAAATATAAGTGGATGCTTGTTGATAAAACAAGTAAATTAAACTGAGAAGTAATTTTTGTTGTCTCAGCTTTGTGTTCAATTTTAACTTAGACACTGCCTTCATCATTTAAATGGTTTAGAGAAACCATTTAGAGCGTAAATGTAAGTCCAAAGATAAATATATTTTTACTGATACTAATATTACCCTGACCTTCGTTCTCAATTATGAAGGATTTTTGAATATCAGAGTCTCCACACATACCATCTAGTTAGAAAATACCAAAACAAAAATACATGAAATAAAATACTAACATCTTTGAGCTTTATAATTATAGATAAGTTAACACTTTTTCATATTAATGGGATCTGTTTCTCCAGATCGTTGTTTTAAAATTATTTTAATTGTCTTATTCCATTTAAAGAAATTAGTAAATATTATAAATATAGCATTATAAATAATATACAATGCTAAGATGTTTCTAAATGAGGAAACCTGTGAAAAATATGTGGAAGTGTAAGAAAATTAAATATTCAATCATATTTATAAAAATAAGTTACAAAGTTTTCATTTGCATGTAGTTTAATATTTATGGAATCATCAGTGTTCTAAACAGTAAAGAATTTCTTGAGACTAGTTCCATATCTGAATATATTCTGGAATAAGATGAATAATCTTCCTACTGCATTACATTCCTGACAAATTTCATTTTATGTATAATGGTCTCAACCAATTTAGAAGAAATCTCAGAAATCGGGATGGTTTCAAGCCATTGATTTCTCAAGGACAGTAGTTGAATTGCTAGGGATCTCTGGACCTTATTCAAGAAAATACAAAAACAATCTGAAATGCATGTCATATGGATGGTAATCACAAGGTTCCCAGTGACTATCCATTTCTAATGAACAGAAAAATAAAAGCAAAGCTAGAGTAACCAGCAAGCCATCAGGGAAAGGACTCAAGTTATTATTACTATCATGTGCAATGGAACATGTTAGCCTGACACAAGTATGTATCCTGTAGTGTTCATTTAAAGTAAAAAGGTCTAGGGCCTCCCCGGTGGCGAAGCGGTTGAGCGCTGGGTTGCGAAGCTGCCCACAGCCTCTGCAGCACCAGTTCGATTCCCGGCCCTCGGGTGAAGGTCCCACATGGTGTGCAGACTTCTCCTGCAGCCCGCTGCTCCCCTCAGCAGTGTACTTCATCAATCTGCCTGCTCTGCTCCCTGCTCTGGCGCTGGTGAATTCTCTCACCCTCCCACGCTTCTCATTGTACCCAGTGCTTGTATAAATAAATAAATAAATAAATAAATCTTTAAAAAAAAAAATAAAGTAAAAAGGTCTATTCAGAAGAATAGCTAGACTATTGAACCTATAAAAGCATTTTCATTACTAAAACAGACATTTTGGGATAAAAAATTGTATCTACTATTTAACTAGCACCATACGAACTCCTCAATCATTTCCCATTGAAGAAACTCACCAAAATCACCAGCATAACCTCCAATTAATTTATAACATCAAATTTGTTCGCTTCCCAGCTTCTGCTATTCCTTTAGTCTAATGAAATCATCCATTGTTTTGTGTTTGTGAAATGTTGTTACTGATTGGCCTGCCCTGTATGAAATGTCTAAACATCAGATCATGAATTATGGCGGCTTCTACCACCCTGACTAAATATGACTTAGATCCCATTACCAAACTATGAAGGGTCACCCATGTCAATATTTCATTATTAACTCTGACAGAAAAGAATGTAGTTACATCATTTTAAATATTTTATAGATTTGTAGTAGTCCTTGCTGTTTTGAAATGATCTATGATATGTTTCAGGAAAATATTTGAAAATCTTCCTTAAAATTTTGATTTAATTGTTTTAACTCCACAAAACTTGTCTACCTATATCCCATCATCTATATAAACTTCAGTTATATCAGTTCAACATCTGCATCAAAGATTATGACATGCTATTGGTACAGTAATGAATATTCAAAGTTGTCTCTAACTTTACTTGGAAAACGTCACAAAAGTGATCATCAAAATGAAATATTTAATATTTGATAATATAATTTGTGCCCATATGCTACTATTAATATGTAGGCCTGACAATCTACCACTCTTCTATTTTCTACTTTTGTACTATAAGTAGGAAACTTGAAGTTTAGATAAATAATAAATGAGAAAAATTTCAGTGTTGTCCTTGGGTAAAAAAAATTCATAATAATTAAAATACCAGGGATTTAAATTTCATATCTTTGAAATGATATTTGTATTCTATCCTAATTACACTTTCCCAAAAAGGAAAAAGAAATGGAAACAATACATCTGGTACCTGATACAGTGCAATTGAGATGAACTGGAATGAAACATGTATTTCAAGAACCCAAGGGAAATAGGAAAATAAATAGTAGCATAGTACATTTTACTTTAAGATCAAAGCAATTTAAAATATACATGTATTGGTTTCCTAGGTGAGGCGCAGGGGGTGACTGTGTCTAAACTTCCAGTTTGATAGTTCTCTATAAAATTTAACCTTTCTTGGCAGGTTTAGATCCGGATAAGCACCTTGGAAAAACCCTGGATCAAATGGAGCCTTATCTCTTAGAGGTAAGAATTTATACTATTTCTCAAATTATAGGTATTTAAAGGAGGGGGGGGAACAGTGTTATGATATGAGTATGAAGTCAATTTTAATGTAGAAAGACAGATACAGTATTTAAGTTCAGTATAGGAGGCGTGCTTGTGCCCAGGCTCTTCTGGTAAGTCTCATCTCACAGCAGTTTGTTCTTTGGCCCTTTATATCTATTTCCTTCCATCAGACTAAATCTCTCTTCTGCCAAAACAGTGTAGATAAATAATGAAATTGAATGCATGGGGGCCAAAGGAGAATTTCAGAATTGAGAGAGATTGTGATTTTGGCAAAGAACTTTTTGTAAACTGTTTTAAAATTTGAACATATGTGGGCCTCCCCTGGTGGTGCAGCGGTTGAGCACTGGGCTGCGAAGCTGCCCGCAACGTCTGCAGCACTGGTTCGATCCCCGGCTGCCGGGCGAGGGTCCCACATGGTGTGACAGATCTCTCCTGCCGCGCCCGCTGCTCCCCTCTGCAGTGTACTTCGGTCCTTCTGCCTGCTCTGCTCCCTGCTCTGGCTCTGGTGAATTCTCTCACCCTCCCATGCTTCTGACTGTACCCAGTGCTTGTATAAATAAATAAATAAATCTTTAAAAAAAAAAAAATTGAACTTATGAATTCAGGTTTCAACCATGTAGAGATTCTTTACAGAAAAGACAAGAAAGGCTTTGGGGTTGCCAGAATGTTGATTATGAACTACCCTGGGTATTATCATAGGGTGTTAAGCACAAAAATGCAGAAATCATTTCATTTAGCGGGTTCCTCAATATGGTCTGGTAGTCTTATGTTTCTCCAGAGAAATTATCTACCTATTCTCCATAATGGGCTTTTTGTTGCTTTTCTTCTCAAATTTGATATTACTTCGCTTTTTTCCCCTCACATTGAGTACACAAGTTGTTTCTTCCTTCACAGAGAAAATAGAGGTCATCATGCTTGAAAACCCTCTACCGTTGAGCACCACCTCTACTAATTTACCTGTGCCCATACCTATCCTTGCTCCTCTGTATATAGCTCATCTACCGGTGTTTCCACATCTTAGAAACCTCACAGTCAACCCTTCCATTGTCCTTATCCTCTCTCTCTTCATGGCCTCCTTCACATCAGTATTGAAACATGCCACCACCCCTGCCATCCTAAGGGTTCCTTCCTTCCACTCTAGTTGTTTCTTAAGCCACTTCTCTCTCTTCTTGCTTCAAAACCAAAAAATTCAGAAGTGTTACTATCAGTACTCCACCTCTTAGATGCCTCGTTTACCAAAATCTGGCTGCTGCTTCTGTCTCTAAATGAATCTGACCACCATCACCTCTGAACTTCATTTCTCCAAACCCAATGACACATTCTACCTTATTTAACAGTGATAAACATTTTTTTTTGAAATGTTTCTATTAGTATTCATGACTTTGTATTTTCCTAGTTTTCTCCTTTTGGTCTGGTCACTCTTATTTCTTGCTAGTTCCTCGTCCAGGCTCCATTTTTACTCTACCAACTTTTTCTGGGTGATCTCAATCACTCACAGGGCTTTAATTACTAGCTGTATCCTGATGACTATTAAATCTTTCTAGCCCAGATTTCTCTGCTAAGCTCCAGTGCCCAAAGGCACCACAAATTAAATCTCTACAAACTTGACTATGGCTTTTATAACCATCACTTTTTACCATTCCCTTTGTCATCACCTTAATTTGGGTGCCTGTCACTTCAGGCCTAGAGTATTACTGACACCTCCAAATTTGCCTCTACCTTCCATTTTATTTCCCAAAGATTTCATTTTGCTTATTACTGCCTCAAGATAATTGTTCTAATATATTCTACTGTAATTGTGTCACTCACTCACTTCTAAACTTTAAATGAGTCCCCACTGCCTACAGGCTAAAATCCCAACTCTTTATACTCCTCTTCCCCTCACCTACTGTATCTAGCCCATTAACGTGATCTCTGCTCTATCTCTAGAATATATTCTAAATCCAAACACCTCTCACTACTTCTGCTGTGGTCTCTGCTGCTTGCCACCAGGCCATAATCATCACTTGTCTGGAATACTACATCAACCCTAACTGGTCTGCTTATTTCCACCATTGCCCTGCTATGATCCATTATTCATACATATGACAGCGTGATTTGTTTTAAAGTGTAAATCAAATCTTATCACTACTTTCTTTAAAATTTAAATGGTTTCTCATTGCAATTAGAATAACATCCAGACTCCTAGAGAGCATAACCTATAAGTCTATATGATCAGCATCCTATCAATCTTTTCAGGCTCGTTCTCTACCAATCTGTATGTCATGTCACTCACTGAGCCATAAACACATAAGCCTCTTTAATACCTAAACCCACGGTATTCACCCTTGTTTTTCCTTATGACATTCCTCTGCCTGAAATGTTCTGTCTTCAAAATGTAACATGGCTAATGGTTTCTCATAATGTAAGTGACAGCTCAAATGCTACCTCCTCAGAGAAGCTCTCCCTGACTACCATGACTAAAGCAGATCAGTCCAAATTACCTTATTTGCTTACCTCCTTATATGAATATTGTCTGTCATCCCTCCTTTCACCCTATGTGAGTGTCAGTAATCTTGCCAAAATTTGTCAAAGATACAAGGTTCTTTCATTTCAGTTGCTTGTTCATCTCTCTATGCATTCATTGCTATAATCTTTAAATTATTTGACATTTATTGAGGACCTGTTCTTTCACAGATATTATGGTGATCACTAAGTATGCACGATGAATTAAACAAGACCCTCATTCTTGAGCAGTTTACAATCTGCTATAGTCATTTTCAGACTTGGGGACCTTGTTTAAAATGCCTATACCTTTTTCCCACTCCAAGAAATTTCAGCTCAGAAGGAACAGGAATCTGACCATTAAAAAGGCACTAGATAATTCTAACATAGTGATCAACATATCATCTTCTAGTTCACAATACCAGCAACATCCTTCATACCCTGCCATTCCAGATCTCTCTGAAAGAGTGTATGCCTTTTTGAAATTGTCACCCATTGGCTTCTTGATGCCACTCACACCTGAACCCTTGCTGAGTATTTCTTAACTTCCTTTTGAGATGTCCAACATTTGGGACACCCTTTATATGTTGTTGTTCCACCCATAACCTTCCTCCTTTGGTGATATGAAACTCTGTGATTTCAATGACTACTTTTATTTTTATACCAATTAAATCTGTTTCCCCACATCTTTCTACGCCCTAGACATGTAAATTCAACTGCCAAATAGACACCTTCCTCTCTTAGGTGTCCTCAGCAACTCAGTCTCAACTATGCAGAAGTGAACAATACCTTCATGACATGTCTATTCCATATTTATGTCTCCTGACAGGGAAGAGCTACACTGTGTACTCAAATGGTTTCTCACTGCAATTAGTATAGTGCATTGTAATACATGATTTCATATGTTCTTTTATTCATAAATGAGGCCCCACCTCCTTTAATTATACCCTCTTGATATCACATTACCTGCCCCTTTTTATCCTCATTGTCACCACAGTAGCACCTCCCCTAGATTACTGCAGCAATCTTCCAGCTCAAATCTACCTTCTGCCTTGTCCCTTGTCAGTCCCTTGTCCATAGTACTGCCACCATGATATGACATGTAAATTGAATCATATCACATTTGCCTTATAAACTTTTAAGTTGCTCCCTCATTGCCTAAAAGAAATACTTAAGCTCCTTTAGCATGACCCAATCTGTCTTTGGGGAAAATGAGGCTGGTATGGTAAGCAGTCTCCTCCATCCATCCTCTTCATCAATTCCCAAGTACTTATTGTTTTCCGAGAGCGAAACTCCCCTTATCCATGTTCTGCTCCCCTTCTCTGCGTGATTTATATCCCCGTCACTTGCCTAAATCCAGTCTATCCTTAAAATCTAAACTCAGAGTTTAACACAATGAGGTTTTCTTTCCTCCTGGAGCTGCCATTTTCTTCTTTGCCTCCTAACATATAATACGTCTCATGCTTTATTTTATTTTTGTCTTAAATAATGCTTTCATAAAGTTCAGATATATAATACATAAAAAAGCACTATAAAATAATGTAAAATGTTCCACTGACTCTTAAGTATCCGGTTTCCTTTTTTTCCTTTCCCAGAGTAAGCCCTCTCTTCTGTTCTAATGTATCTCTTCAAAAAACATTTTTGCATATGTAAATATATATGCATGTGTTTATCCATTTTTAACTAAATTGGAACACACTATGCACATTATTCTCCATCTTCTGAATTAAAGTGATCTGATCCTATTCTTAATGTCTATTTCTCTCTAGAGTAAGATAACAGACACACAGTTTATCTCTAAAACATTCCACATACAATTTTCAGAAGTTCATCAAAATTGTTAGGGGGAAAAGGCGGTCCCAAAGCAAATTCCATACAGGCTTTGTGGACTCCACCCCCACCCCAGGTCAAAGCCAAAGACACTGGGAACTCCAAATCCCATCCACCCCCACCCCAGGTCAAAGCCAAAGACACTGGGAACTCCAAATCCCATCACCACCAAAGGGAAGGTGGCTGGGATTTGGAGTTCCCAGTGTCTTTGGCTTTGACCTGGGGTGGGGGTGGAGTCCACAAAGCCTGTATGGAATTTGCTTTGGGACCGCCTTTTCCCCCTAACAAAACTACCAAGCCTATTAGGAAGCCTGATAATGAAACTGAGAGAAAAGGACACAATAGAAGCAATCCAAGTAGACATCAATAAAATAAAATTTTTAGATTTTAAAATGACTATAGCATTGGGTAACAAGATGAACTATGTTAGGGAAGATTTGGAATCTATATAAAATAGATTCTATGTAAATAGAACTCTGATACTGAATTCAATATAAATAAAATTCTAGTACCTAAAATTACAGTAGTTGGCATTAAGACTGTAACAAGTGGTTCCTATAAGTAGATTTGACCCAGTTGTATAGACAATTAAGAAACTGGAAAATGGGGGAATTACATACCCATAGTGAAGCACAGCGAAAACA